TGCAGCAGGAGCTGTTATCAAAATCACGGGACACTCCACTGACAGTTCTCCAGAGGCCAAAGGGAATCAAGCGGCTGATACTGCTGCCAGAGAGGCTGCAAAATTGACTGAGACATGCGTGAGTGTGCTGGCTTTTGCTCCCCAGGAGAGTGAACCCTCTAGAGACATTTTTGAACTTTATTCAGAGGATGACCCTGAAGAGATAGAGCAATGGACAAAATTAGGTGCAAAGAAAAATACAGAAGGATTATGGAAATTCAATGACCGTTTTGTTTGTCCTGTTTCTGCTCGAACTGAACTAATGTCTCTGTATCATGGTTTGGCACATGCTGGTCCTGAGAATTTACATGCAATGATTTCAAAAACCTGGTGGTGGCCAAAGCTGAGAGCTTCTTGCAATGACTTTTGTAAAAGATGCTTAGTATGTCTTAAAGTGAATTCCCCAGCAAAGCTAAAGATTCCTTTAGGACATGCCCCTCGACCTCAGGGGCCATGGACCCACCTTCAAATTGATTTCATAGGTCCCCTGCCCCCTAGTGGAGGCTTTTCATACATTCTGATGATTGTTGATTTGTTTTCCAGATGGGTGGAGGCGTTTCCTCTGAAAAACTGCACCGCAGACGCAACTGCAAAAATTCTGTTGAATGAAGTTTTCCCCAGATGGGGTTTACCATTGCACATTGACTCAGATCAGGGCACACACTTCACGGGGAAGGTAATGAAGAATGTGATGAAATTGATGGGAGTGAAACAACACTTCCACATACCGTTTCGTCCTCAGTCTAGTGGTTCTGTCGAACGTTCTAATCGGACGATTAAAACTTCATTGAGAAAGAGATTGTTGGGGTGGGGGAAGGGATGGCACTCTGCTATCCCAACCATTCTTTTAAGTATGAGAGCCAGCCCGAACAAAACTACTCAGATCAGTCCCTTTGAGATAATGACAGGTCGCTACATGCGACTGCCCTGGGACGCTCCTCTGCAACATGAGGGACCGTCAGGGCCTTTGAAAGATGCTCTGCAAAATTATCTGAAGGCTTTGGATAACTGTTTAAAAGACACCAGGGTTAGTGTCAGTATCCGACAAGCAGAGAAAGATAACACTGAGCAAAAAGACATGCCTGCGTTGCCTGAGATAGGTGACAGTGTAATGTTGCAAAGGGAGATAATCTCTCCTCTGGGTCCGAAATTTGATGGACCTTACCAAGTTCTGTTGACTACTAATACATCTGTTTTACTCGACAGAGGTGTGTTGGGTACAGTATGGAGACATTGGTCACAGGTGAAACCACTTGAGAGGTGTTGCAACCAGAATACCACCACATAATAACATGATAAATCGTACCTCTTCAATATCTGTCGTATATGATTTTTCTAAATTCTGGCATTACTGTTTTATCATTTACAGATGGCTGAGCCAGACGACTTATTGAAGCTGCTAATTCTGCAAGAAGAAGTGCGTAATGAGAAGCGACGGAAAATGAGACGGGCTTTTGTTAGATTAGTACTCCCGCTCTCTTTTGTATGTTTAATCCTAATCGCTTTGTCATTTCTACTGTGGATACAGATTTCCATTTGGACCGGTCGATTCCATGCTTTTGCGACTAATTGGGATTGTGAAGAAACTGACAACCGTCCATCCTGGGTACAATACCCATGCCTAAATTCAACTGAGGGTCTAAATTTGATTTCGACTATGTATCAGAAGGTAAACGATAGATGCTATCGGTTGGACGGAAATGAGTCAGTGACCTATTGGCTTGGTCACTCCCCAAATTATCCCGGTAATACCCTCATTATGCAAAAAGGTCGTTGGGTGAGAGATGGAGGTGTTTATGTTTATGAACCGCATTTTAGCTCCATGAGTTGGATTCCAGACAGCATAGCCCATGAAAACCACACTGCCTGCTCCAAACGGATGAATATGGCTAATAGTTATCTGTTGAAACCCATGAAGAATGAGAATAGAGCAGGGCGGAAGAAGCGTCAGACCGTAGCATTAGGGGATTCCCACATGATTTTAGGAGGGAAACCAGTGAAACTTCCCCTTTATCCTAGTGCACCTGACCCTCGACACATAATGTCATATTACCTGCCCAAAGCTAAAGCTGAATTAGGTTCTAATCAGGTTGTCAAAGATGTGGTCCAAAGTTACATACATAGCAACATTGTTGTGAGAGAAGAACCAGGTTCAGACTTGTATCAACAGATCCTGAAGGATAAGGATTCGATGAGATGGAAAGTGTTAGTTCCCACGAGGGTTCACATGGTCCGATGGGACGTAGACAGGTCTTATGGTGCTGTTTGTGATCGATTCGGACGAATCGATAAGACTGATAAAAAGAATTTCGACCTTAATGGCAGTAAAAATGGTTTGCCTTTTGTCAATGCTTTTTCTCTCTCTTGGCCCAAGTATACTAGGTTTGATGATCCGTGGAAGGAGACAGCACAGGTGGAACGTTGTTTAGGTGAAAACATTCAACAATGGTTTGTTAAAACCTTTCCTCCAGGTGATGTTAAGAAATGTAAAACGATGTCGGAAAAACTCACAGGTGTAAAGGTGATGGAAGTGCCTATGGAAGTATGTAATTCCTCTTTTGTTAAGACAGGATACACTTGGACTAGTTTGTATGACGTGTTGCATCAGTACGAGCTCGTTAGGAGCTTTGCTAATAAAACGGCTCTTAAAATGGATCAATTGCATGATTATTTAGAAGGGAAATGTTACAGCCCTACCTCCATGGCTTATAATGTGACTGCCTGGATGCACCTTCATGTGCTTAAATTGACGATTGAATTGATGTATACTAGAATAAAGACTCGTCTGGTACCAGTGAAATATGAGGAGTTATTGTGGGATAATTATCAACCATTCCAGGTGAGGATGTGGCCTCAGTTAAAGGATGTAGCCATAGGGGATGAGTGGTTTGATAGGGAAAAACAATTTCGGCAGTTTTTGGGTCCGATCCAGTTGCATGACGAGTATAACATTTCTCCCAAGAACTGTGCTAGACATAGGTGGACGCATCCCTTGGGTCCCACGTGGCGTCCAGTGGATCAGAGTCAAGATGGTAATGGAGCGGAGGGTTCCCTTTGTGTTACTGAATTGAAGCAAGAAACTGAATATTTTCCCCAGGTAAAGGCCCAGGAAGCTCAGCAGAAATACATTACAGCTTTCCTTGAGCAGGTAAAGACGACTGATCCATTTGCAGGTTATGAGTATTTGAATTCTGCCTGGTTTAAGTCCAAGGGAACTTCTCTTATGTCGGACTCTGAAGCACCATCTGCTATTGCGGTGGCTTTTGTTTTGGCTTTTTCGGTTGGTGCTATATTCACAGATATGGCAGAAACTGTAGAAGAATATGTGGAAGAAGCTTGGGATGATTTGGTGACAGCATCGGAAGATATAGTCATGGGATTTGTGCACTACGTGCTGTATGCTGTGGGAGCCCTTGTGGGGGTGATGTTCCTCTGTTTGTGTATTTGGTTGTGTGTTCGTTTTTGTTTCTCCTATCTGTGCAGGACTGCATGCAGAAATCTGAATCCTGCTGAGGAGGAAAAGAGACTGCTGATGCTCACGACCCACCTGAGGGACAAATTGGATCAAAACAACATTGAAGCCCTGATGTGAGTGGAAGGTGGGAGAGCCTCTTAACGGGGACTGGACTTTTTAGTATCCAGCATGTCCGTGACGAGGTGAAGAGACAAGTGTGACCCGTCAGGGAAGCATGCGTCACCACTCCCCCTCTCCGTAGTGGCCTCACTTGATAGACCAGACGTGGCGGTATTGGACCACACATCGGTCTAAAACGGGGGACTGAAGGGTTGGGGTCAGAATCCCTTGCCTCTTCAATTTAACTATATGTATATCCTTTTTTATGATTACATTATTACTATAATAAGCACTAATCAAGTTATATAATCATTCCTATACGCAATAAATGATTCACATATAGTTTTTATTCATACTTCTGTTGAATGCACCTCTTTCCTGAATGTTGGGTGAAGGCCTATCTTTCATGAATGTCTTATGATGTCTGGGACTAATCTTCTGTGGCCCTGAGCAAGAACATTAAATACAGGCTTTTTGTCCGTATGTATACTAATGAGTGTGTTAAACTTAAAGAAAACCCTCATCATATGATCATGTTTCTCTGCTGACCCTATTAATGGGCAGGGGTCAATTTCTGTATGATTCTATGATTTGTTTTACTTCTTTCATACATATATTTCTCAAGAAGTAAAGTAATTGTTATTTCTTCTCTCTGAGGATGGAAGGTTTTATCAGTATGTTGCAGGTCTCATGACATGGGGTGGCTGGTCTCATGACGCTTTTCGATGGGCCCTCCGAGGTCATTACTGGATCTTCGTGACTTGGATGACAGCTATCTTGATTGATGTCAACGTACCCTTCTATCTATGTGTAATTGTTTAGGCTTTATGTCTTCTGAGCCAATCAGAAGTGAATGTTTATGTAATGTATGCCCTTGAAAACAGTATAACTGGTGTACGATTTTCATGTAAGGTAGAGTTAGCTTGCGACCTCCTCGTGAGACTTTGACGCTGACTCTGCCAATTAAACTGCAAACTATTCTTCAGTAAATTTTACTCTTTGATTGAACATCACGACTCCTGGTCTTCTTTCATCATCTCTGGGCCTGGGTCTGAAACTGTTACCCCCCCCTAACACTATAACTAATTACTTTTTAAAAGTAATCTTGAATGACGTGGAGGAGAGTAAATTATCAGGAAATTTTTATTCTGAAGTGAACTACTCCTTTACGGGCGGTGATGCGCTGCTTTACATCCTCTGGCATTTCAGTTTGATTTGTTCAAAATGAAAAAAAATCTGTAAATTTTGCCAATAAACTGGGGGTTGAATAATTTCGATAACAACTGTGTATATATATATATATATATATAGCATTAACTTGGAGAACAAACACAATCTAGTGAGTGTGTGTGTGTGTGTGTGTGTGTGTGTGTGTGTGTGTGTGTGTGTGTGTGTGTGTGTGTGTGTGTGTGTGTGTGTGTGTGTGTCACTGATCTGTCCTGTTGTCTCCATCACTGCAGGCTCCTCGTCTCAGACTAAAATCATCCACTGAGATTTCTCCATGTTTCCCTCGCCGTCTCTCTGCCTTCAGCACAATCTGATACACAACAACATCAGTCAATAAACTGAATTATCATAGGCCATATTAACATCATAACATCATATTAACATCAAGATGAACATAGGCCTAATCAATAATCAGAAACGGCAGGATGGATACTATTATAACATACTAAATGTTATATACACAGCTTTGGGTTTAATGTTTTAAACCAACAAATTAAGTCAAAGTTTTTCATGATTTTGATTTTGAAACTCAACGAAAAATCAACAAAATGTTGCATGGTTTGCAATCCTGCATAATTTGCCATTTAACTGCAAACTAATCTCAAAAAGCACAGTACACTCTAAAAAATGCTGGGTTGTTTCAACCCAACTTTGGGTCAAATATGGACAAACCCAAACGTTGGATTAAAAATGCAATTTATGTAACCCAACAGCTGGGTTTGTCCATATTTGACCCAAAGTTGGGTTGAAACAACCCAGCATTTTTTTATAGTGTACTATTTAAAGTCATTGACACGTTAATGTGATAAAGAAACATACCGATTATTCAGTCTACAGTGAAGATTGTGCAGTTTTTTTATTTTACATTTGATTATTCAATATCTGTAGTATTTTGTAAATAAATACTAAATCTACCGGAAGAACTTAAAGCACTCCTTATTTCATTAGTATCGTTTGTCTTATTGTTTGTCATTTTCTTTGGTATTATTTTTATAACAAAAAAAACGAAACAAACTTTGATAAGAATTTGGTAAGATACAAAAATAAACTAGCTTTCCTGTCATGTATGACTAATGCACATTTAGTTTCATACATAATATGGTAAATTTGATATTCTAATTATTTTTTTAAAATCAGCAATTTTTGCAAAAATACTCGTGGGACTGAAAAGTTAATCTTTGAACTGGTTAAGTCAAAGAACATGTATTACACTCTAAAAAATCTTTTTACCCAAATCTTGGGTTGAGCCTATTGGGTCAATTGTTTGGGTTATTTTTTCAGTGTTTGGGTAGTTTTTGTGATACCCAGCTCCTGGGTCAGAGGCTACAACCCAGTGTTTGGGTAGTTTTTGTGATACCCAGCTCCTGGGTCAGAGGCTACAACCCAGTGTTTGGGTAGTTTTTGTGATATCCAGCTCCTGGGTCAGAGGCTACAACCCAGTGTTTGGGTAGTTTTTGTGATACCCAGCTCCTGGGTCAGAGGCTACAACCCAGTGTTTGGGTAGTTTTTGTAAAACCCAGCTCCTGGGTCAGAGGCTACAACCCAGTGTTTGGGTAGTTTTTGTGATACCCAGCTCCTGGGTCAGAGGCTACAACCCAGTGTTTGGGTAGTTTTTGTGATACCCAGCTCCTGGGTCAGAGGCTACAACCCAGTGTTTGGGTAGTTATTGTAAAACCCAGCTCCTGGGTCAGAGGCTACAACCCAGTGTTTGGGTAGTTTTTGTGTCTTCGGTAAAATACAGGTTTGTGTACATTTTCTGTATCTATAAATTCATTATTGTTCTGTATATCATTTAATTTTAAGCAAAGTAACATACAGGGGCGTGATGTGAGTCTTTTTCACGTGATGCCTGATGCCTTGGCTTGCATAAAATTGTATGATATTAATCAAAAAGAAACAGAATATAAATACTTAGGATGTTAAAATATGTCCTCAGAACTGTGCACTGATTGTTTATGGCCAGGTTATGGAGTCGGTCACATGATATTTGCGGCGGACTGAAGTTAGAAGTTCCCCCGCTGAACACGACACGAGATCCAGCGCCATTACAGTGGAAACGGGACAACAGAGACTGGTCCATTACACTTGAATTACTCAATGTTTCATTTTTACTTCTATTTGTTAAACGAGCTTAAATGTATGCAATATGTATTCAAAACTATATAAAATATGATCAAAAATAAAGGAAATATCATGCAAACCAGTTTTTAAGTTTAGAGGATTTAAGTGAATCCGTAATCATTAATTAAGTAAAAAAAAGAAAAAAAAGCTAGTACTACAGTAAAAATGAATCAACCCAGTATTATGGGTTAAATCAACAACCTAATTTGCTGGGTAAAAATAACCCAACATGTGTTACCCAGCCCTTGGGTTGGAAACAACCCAAATTGGCTTGTTTTTTAACCCAGTGTTTTTTAGAGTGTAGAACCTGATGATTTATTCATGCTTACATCAACAACGCCCCGCCCCCCAAGCGTGATGTGGGTGTGTCTCCAGCCGTGTCCTCCAGTCGTGGTCCAGACTGACGGGCTGTGACTCCGCCCCTTTCTGACAAACACTTGCAGAAAGCCGATGTGGTTTCCGTGGAGACGGTGTCTAAACGCCAGACAGAGGTCGCCGCCCTGCCACGCCTTTGTGGGCGTGGCCAGTGGCACCGTAAG